AATGATGAGAATGGAGAGGTGTTTTATGTGCGTAATGATGAGAATGGTGTTTTATGTGCGTAATGATAAGAATGGAGAGGTGTTTTATGTGCGTAATGATGATAATGATGAGAATGATGAGGTGTTTTATGTGCGCAATGATGAGAATGGAGAGGTGTTTTATGTGCATAATGAGGAGAATGATGATGTGTTTTATGTGTAATAATGAGAATGATGAGGTGTTTTGTGCATAATAATGAGAATGAAGAGGTGTTTTACGTGTGTAATGATGAGAATGATTAGGTGTTTTATGTGCGTAATGATGAGAATGGAGAGGTGTTTTACATGTGTAATGATGAGAATGATGAGGTTTTTTATGTGCATAATGATGAGAATGAAGAGGTGTTTTATGCGCGTAATGATGCAAATGATGGTGTTTTATGTGCGTAATGATGAGAATGATGTGTTTTATGTGTGTAATGAGAATGGAGATGTGTTTTATGTGTAATAATGAGAATGGAAAGGTGTTTTATGTGCATAATGATGAGGTCTATGGAGGTATTGTACAAAGGTTGCATTGTCATACAGTTTATTACTCCCAGAGAATAATGATAAACAGAGTGACTCTCATTTGTATTACATAATTCAAAGCCCAGCACACTCAATCAAATAGGATGGAATCCAAAGGTTTTTGGTGAGATTTAGATTACCTTTATTCTGGTAACTTGCCTGTGATTGGGTATATTTAAGATGTGAAATGCAGTTTTCTAATCATAATTTTATTCAGACATGTAACTTTGTCAGAACATACAGGGTTTTAGGCAGCATGCAGCACCATGGTGCAACAGAAATTTTGGACTTTAACTTCCAGTTTGTTACAAATGCTGGTGATTAAATGAAGTGGTAGTGATGATGTCCATTGTCTCTTTTCTAGAATTCCTCAAGATGATGGAGAATGTGCAGTAAAACTTATCAAACTCATGGACATTCCTGCACCCTCCTGTGAACCGTTTTCTGATTACACCATCCCTCCATCTCTCTGACCCACTGCAAACATCCAAAGATACACCCCCTTGTCCACCTGGTTCACTGTCTCTCCTCTCCATCCTTGTAGACATCCTCAACAGACAGCTAGGACACCTTGCAGGGGGGTCGCGGGCTGAGCTACACTCATCTCTGACTTGCTCATGATAGTAGACAGCATGCTATCAGCACTGCGCTGACACCGTACCTGTGACAGCAACGCTGCAGCAAGGAAATTCACCCCAGACACCTTCTGCTGCATGTATGGCATACAATGTCTCGAGCAACCCCCTTCTGCTGGTAAAGCTCTGATCTAGATTTAGTCTAGATAGACGGCAGCCTGTTATCTGCTGCTTAGACCAATTATTTCAGACACTTCATTGTACAAAGAAGTAATTTGCTTAAAAGGAATAAATGAACTAACACATGCTCACTTGTAGTTGGTCTGTTATATTTATGGTCTGTGTAAAAAAAATGTTTGTTTTGAGGAAATGAAATAAAATCTGTTTGTTTCTTCTTTTTGTCACCAGATTTTGTGGTATTCAAACGTGCACAGTTTATGTCATAACTGGTGTCATGCCGTTAATATCCAGAACTGGTGTTCATTAAATTTTATGACATTTCGTCGTGCATGGTTAGTTATTTTAAAGAGTTCATAGTCAAAATTCATTACTAAATTTCAATTTATAAAGAGGCTAGAAAATAGTTAAAAGTAATTAATAAAACAATGTTCAGTTTTCTTGTGTGAAAATGTCCTTCCAACCTAAACACCTAAAAACCACTTGATGTCTCATTTGAAATCAAAAGATACAACTGAAACCAGTAAATCGAGAAATCCTATTTTTTCCTATTGTTTGTTTGAAAATTTTCCTACTGATATGGCTACATCACAAATACAAAAGACAAATAGCTGTGTACACGCACACACACACACACATGTGCACTTTACGTGAGTCTTTTAGGAAGCTTTTCTAATTGGGGACCGTGGTTTTGGTCCCCAGTTGCCAAGGTGTCCCCAAATGACTGGTGTGTAAGCTGGTTCAAGTCCCCAAATATGACATAAACAAACTCTTCCACACACATCTCTTGAAATAGACTGTGTGTGTGTATATAGACTGTGTGTGTGTGTGTATATATATATATATATATATATATATATATATAAATATATATATATATATATATATAAATATATGTATTAGGTAATTGGCTGAGCAAATACCGTATTTTCCGTCTGACATGTTGCACCGCCCTATAACTCGCATCAGTCCATATTTGTCTAATAAAGTGGAAAAATCCATAAATATGTTGCTTCGCCGTATATGTCGCATCTATTATGCATCACCGCCGGAGTGTCGCGTTTGTTACGCGTCACCGCCGACAACCCGGGAATGTGGACTGAACCCAGAAATGTGGACCGGTGTTGTGCCAAAAACCGATGGGCTGCCAAATGGCGGCCGCAGGAGCGTGCCTGGAGGACTTTAACAAGAATTTAACTAGATTAACACTTAAAATCAATTATTTGTTTGCTCCATTTTATAGTAAATGTGTGTCTCAGTCTAACATTTTCTTAATAAATGTCCTTTAATGGTCAAATTAGCTTTATTTAAAAAAATAGTTTCGCTGCCTCTGTGCTCTATGAACGTGCAGGGGACGAGAAAAAGGGAGGAGGAACGCAGCTTATTTCTTTGAAATTTAACAAGAAAAGCACCTAAACAATTATTTGTTTGCTCGAAATTATAGCAAAGGTGTGTCTCAGTCTAACATTTGCCTAATAAATGCACTTTAATGGTCAAATCAGCTGCATTTCACCGGGGTGGTGCAGCTGTTTTGACAGTTCCAAGCAGAGAGCAGAATGAAGGTGGGGAGACTCTGCCAGGCCGATTGAGTCATTAAAAGCTGGGGAAGATTCTCAGTCATCCAGGACATGGTAAATTCTAAAAAGTTCAAGAAAAAAACAATAAAGTATAAAATATAGTATAATAAATAAAGTTGTTTTGTCTTGAACTGTTTTGAATTTGTCATTATAGCCACGTTTACCTATTACATGATACAACAGCATGCCATACTCCTATTACAACTCTGCTGCCATCAAGTGGTTGAAAGCACTACTGCGCTTTTTCCAGTCAGAATGAATAGAAACTGTCATATCTCAGCCAAAAAAACAGTTTATAAATATGGGAAAAAATCCATAAATATGTCTCGCTTTGGCCTATAAGTCGCAGGGCATGTAAATTATGCAAAAAAACTGCGAATTATAGGCCCAAAAATACAGTACTTCTGGCAATGTAGTGAAGTTTACGTTTACCCTCCAGGATATATTTATCAGTACATCAGTAGACAATCATAAAAATACATATGAATTGAAAAATAAAAGATAATTATATTTAAAAAAAAAGAAACAAAAACAGTTACATTATAAAGCCATGTAAAATACTAAAAACAGGAACATGTTTTTCTTAGTTCATATCTTAAATCTTATTGGTTTTTCTTGTACATTTTATTGTGGGATGTAACTGGGACCCTGTGTACATGGTCTCGTTCCACCACATGAACCACAAGTGGTGTGTATGACAATAAAACTGACTCTGACTTTAACGCTAGGAATAAAAACATGTTTTGTGTTAGCAGGATTTAATTCTAACTTTGAAACTTATCCAACATTAATAAAAATTACCACAAGTTGCCTTTTTGGATATGCATGAATATAATTGTACAACTTGTACTTGTGTGTAGAGAGGAGATTATTACAGCCTCATATGAAATCAATAATGATGATGATATCGGAATAGTATTGACCAATATACAGATTTAAGTATCGGCACCGGATCAAAAGTAAAAAATAAAAAAAAACGTGGATCGGTGTTATTTGTCCATACTATACATAATAATCAGAAAACTATAGATCAATGGAACACATTTATTGCGAGGGCATGCAATATGTTTTTCTGACATATTGCTTACCGAGCTCCGTATTTTAAAACAGTAAAGATAAAAATAAATAAAAATAACATGGTTAAACAATTAAGGTCATTCAATTAAAAATACAAACAAAAAATACACCCACTGAAAAAGACAGGACATTTTATTCTTATTACGCATACAATTACAAATCATAAAAAATAACATAAAAAAAAAAACTAATGAAAAGTTAGAATTTATACAGAAAATATACATTAATAAAAAAAACTTTTTTTAAATGCCGAGGATATACAAATGATCATCCATACGACATTTTTCTCACAGTATCATCTATGCCATGGAATAGAGTAAAAAAGGGCCTTTCACACCATGGAATATGCCTTCTCCTGATCTTTGAGGCAGTTAACGTTAGAATGCAAATAAAATACATCATTTTAAAACAATTTTTTAACGCAGTGCATGAATACATAAAAAATTAAAGAAAAAGTTTCAGTGCTAATTTGTTCTATAATAACTGATTTCTCTGGGATTATGTTTTTCTCCTGATTGTTGCTGATAAGTTTTTTTTATTTTTATATTTCATTGGTTCACAAATTCATGGTGAAGATATCACATCGTCCAGGAGCTTTCCAGTCCAGTCAGCTCTTTACCTCTAAAAAAACCAACGGTGGTCTCAGCGTCTGTCCTGGTCCCACTGGAGCCCACTCGTTTTCTCCACTCAGGGCTGGTAGTCGTAATACGGGTCTTCTGGATGAAGAATAAAAACACAGACAAGAGTAAACAATTTTAAATGCTAGCTTTCAAGAGTATGTTGCATTTATTAGGATTAAAAAACTAATCCGAACTAAAAGCATATTTTGTTTATAGCCTGCTGGACTTTGTCATTTTTGATTTTATGAGGAAAAACACGAGAAAGTCAATTAAGCTTTATAAAGTGACAAGGGGTAACGATGTTGACTAACAAGCCCGATGTTCCTGAAAATATCCCTTTGGACTTGTTTATAAGAGGCCTAAGGCCTTCTGGGGAGGCAACAAACATGGTGTTTTATTGGAACAACAGAACTTAATACTGCGACTCAGCACATCAGCTAACCTGTTTGTTGGGGAACTCTTTGGCAGCCTCCACTGCTGTCACAAACACCCGGTGGTCCAATCTCGCCTGGCTGACCTGGGGGTCCGGGAATCCCTGGTTGTCCTGCCTTGCCATCGTCTCCGTTCGAACCCGGGTCCCCCAGCTTCGACTCACCAGCAGGACCTGCAGACGGGCATTTTACCGTCATCTTAGCCAGACGTCTGTTCATGTTGATTTAACGATGATTTACTGAGCATTGGAGTAATAAATGAAATAACCGAGCCATTTGGAGGTACCTGCAAAGCCTTTGATCCCAGAGGGCCCCTGGATGTTGTTCCCTGCATCACCTTTCTCCCCTGGAAGACCTCTCCGTCCTGCAGAGAAGCAAGAAACAAATGATGCCTTGTGACGAACAGCTCGGGTGAGATGTGCCATGGCTCAAATCTCACCTTGTTCTCCTGGATATCCAGGCCTGCCAGGTCTCCCTCTTGAGCCCATGTTCCCCTGGTTGCCCCTGGCACCGGGCGGACCTCTGGGCCCCGGTATACCAGGTTCTCCTGGGGGTCCTACTGGCTCCTCGATGGGAGCTGGTTTTCGACTAACCTTATTAATGTACATGTCAAGTGTCAACACCTCCTCTGGGGATAAAACAAACAAAAACAAGAAGATACATCTGTTTTTTAACTTGCAGTACCTAAAATACAACAATTGTATCTGTAAAAGTCTATTTTTCTCCACCCTTGTTTAAGAAGGACTTACTGTGTATTAGTTGCTCGCAGGCCTGTGTGACCAGCTGGTAGATCATGGCCATAGACTGAGGTTCCCCCTGTGAGCAGATTCACCAGCAACTAACTCAATAACTTCACATTGAAACGATTAAAAACAAATTATGTCTAAATTAGACTTTACTGAAATAGCAGTGAGTAACACAGATGTAATACATTAATATATATTTTGTCGTGTTCTGATGCGAAGAGTGCAAAAACAGATTTCGACAAATTACCTCATAATTTTAGAGTGATCGTTAAATTATGAACTTAAAGCCCACCTTTTGACCTTGTTCCCCTTTATTTCCTGGCAGACCCTGTGCGTAAACGTATACAAAAGTGAGACTTAATTTGAGGACAGTTTGGACAAATTGTAGAACTTTGAGAACTTTTGTGATGCGCTCATTACTGAGATGATAAAAATACAAAAGCATATCCCGTTTCAACTCCACGTATTATTGGAATGTGAATAAAATCAAGAATAAGCCAACACCAGGGACCTAGATCTAATATATATATATATATATATATATATATATATATATATATATATATA